CTGGCTGAGCATCTTTCAGTCCCTTCTGTTTTTTTTTTAAGGGGAATACTATGTGGTTTAGAATTTGAAGCCACTCAGTGTCCCAATCCTCTGTCTTACGTCCCCAGGATGTTCACAGACCTTTCAGACCGCATGAACTTTTTCCAGCGGGTGAAGAACCTGATCTATGAAATCCCAAATTATTTTCTCTGTCATTTTGCCTTTCAACCATACGTAAAACTGGCTTCTGAGTTCCTGCGGCGGGATGTAACAGTGATGGATCTCTTACATCAGGGTTCCATTTGGCTCCTGAGGTTAGATTTTGTGTTAGATTATCCAAGACCTCTGATGCCCAACATCATTGTAATCGGAGGAGTAAACTGTGCTCACAAGAAGCTACCTCAGGTGGGTGATGCTCTGTTTTTAATTCTTGCTCTGACAGACTTCTGTGATCTCAAAGGTGTAATTTGGTGTTGCAGATAGGCATGAAGTTCCTGTTTAGGGTGAATTGGGCAAATAGCTGTGAAAGAAATTGTCTGTCTCACTTTCTTCCTCGTTCTCCCTGTATAGGCAGCTCTGTCTTTTCCTGTCTAAAGCATGCTCAATTGAAGAGAAACTGAGGGCTCTTGTAGTGAAGGTCTGTGATGGGACATGGTAAACACCAGCCAAATGGATCGTCAGAATTTGTGGAGAGTAGGACCGAGTGCTGGATTTGTCTTACAAGCAGCTCCCATGACTTGTCTGACAAAACCTTAAAAGCTCTTTCCAAGCTCAAAACCCCAGTCCTAATGAATGGAGCCATGGAGCCGGTCTGCTTTGACACATCTAGTACAGCACGAGTAGCACTGAGCGGGGGGATGCAGCCTGGGTGATCACACTGAACTTTCAGATGTGGCACGTGCTTTGGGTGCCTTGGAGGCTATCAGCAGTGCAGTCCCACCCAGAACCACCCCTGCCTCCTTCCTAGGACACGCTTCACTGTTCCTCTGCTAGAAACAGATTCGGGTTGTCTGATGGATCCACCACACGCCACCAGCCGGTGGACATGGCTGGCATAAAATGCTTATTATGCAGCCTCTTATCAAA